CCTAATAACTCATAAAATTAAACCATATAAGTATGTAAATTTTGATGGACAAGTACATATAACAGATTTAGAAGTTAAGGTACCAATAAAAATAGGAGGAATAGATCTTTTAGTACCATGTTACATAGATAAAAGTATGGATATAAACCCTCATATACTTTTAGAAATGAGTTTTCTAAACGGATTAGAAGATTATGGTATAAAAAGAGAATGATTATATATTGTACATAATGGACAAACTATATTATGTAAAAAGAATTAGATGAATAATCAGATAAGTTTTCTGTTAGTTGTGTATATACAAATTACTATTGTAAAAACAAATATAATAACTTGTACTTCAATAGATACAGGAGGTGATATAACAATATTTAAAAGTTTTTTAATAAAATCATGGAATAATAATAGTAATATAAAAATAATTGGTGTTACAGGAGAAAGTACTCAAATAATTAATAGTGCTGATAAAGTTAATATAATTCTTGGAAGTAAACAAGTAATAATAAATAAAATTTATAAATATGATAAATTAGAATGTGATATATTATTAGGAAATGATTTTATACAATAATTTCAATATTATATACAAAATAATTATATGATAATGCTATACAAACACCTTGTGGACACTTATTAAAAATTCATAGAGAATTTAATCCTTATAGAGTTCAGCCAGCCTAGCGTGGTGATAAATGGGAGAAAAAACCAATTTTTAATAATGAAATAAAAAATAAAAGAATATTATATAAAAATGTTCTAAAAATAGGAATAGAAATGAATATAGAAAAAATCATTGAACAATTAGAAAATGTTTATGGAGAAAATTCATTTTATTTTGGAAACCATATCACCCAAAAGTCAAAATAGAATTAACAGAAAATGTTATGATAAGAATAAGACCAATAATGTATACAATAGAAGATACACAAGAATTTAAAAATCAGATAAAATAATTATTAGAACAAAAACTTATTAGACTTAGTAATGGATCTCATAGTAGTCCAGCCTTTATAGTTATGAAACACTCTGAACAAGTTAGAGGAAAAGCTATAATGATTATAAATTATAAAGAATTGAATAAATATACTAAATTTGATGGTTACTTTCTACCAAATAAAAAAGTACTACTAAATCTTGTAAGAGGAAAACAATATTATTCTAAATTTGATTGTAAATCAGGATTTTGGCAAGTAAAAATGGAAGAAGATAGTATACAATATACTGTATTTAGCATACCTCAAAGAAAATATGAATGATTAGTTATGTCATTTGGTTTGAAAAATGCACCACAAATATATCAAAAAAAGATGGATAATATATTTAAAAAGTTTAATGAATTTCTAATAATTTATATTGATGATATATTAATATGTTCTAATAGTAAAGAAGAGCATAGAAATCATTTAATCCAATTTATTAATGAGTGTAGAAAAGAAGGAATTGTACTATCTAAAAAGAAATCTATAATAGAAAAATAAGAGATAGACTTTCTTAGATTATCAATAGATAAAAGAGATATAAAATTACAGACTCATATATCGAAAAAGATAGAAAGTTTTTCAGATAAATTAGAATCCAAGGAACATATTCAAAAAATTTTAGGATGTTTAAATTATGCTGAAAGATTTATTGAAAATCTTTCTAAGAAAAGAAATAAAATCCAAGTTTTACTTAGAAAAACAAATACTAAGGGATGGAATGAAGAACATACAGAAATAATTAAATCATTAAAAGAAGAATGCAAAAATTAACCAAAATTAAGATTACCAGATGAAAAAGATAATTTGATTGTTAATACTGATGCCTCAGATAAATATTGAGCAGCAATATTAAAAACAGATCTTAATGAAATTTGTAGATATTCAAGTGGAACCTTTTAACCAAACAGAAATAAATTATACTACTCATGAAAAAAATTACTAGCAATTATTAGAGGAATAAAAAAGTTCTCATTTTTTTTATTATCCAATAAATTTATTGTTGAAACTGATAATTCTCAAGTTGCAGGATTAGTCAGGAATAAGTTACCCTCAAAACCACAATACAGAAGGTTTCATAGATGGCAAGATTATTTAGCATTTTATAATTTTGATATAGTCCATATTAAAGGAATTAATAATTTTCTTACAGATTTTCTCAGCAGAAACATAGAATTTGCTGATGGATAGAGCCAATGCCATGTAGTTATACCAATCTATTATACATATACAAGAAATGACAAATTTTCTTAAAGAAGAATCCGAAGATATAAGTTTTGGAGCAACCCAGATCTCAGAGATGTTCAACTCAAATATGAAAATATTGTTGAATATCACTATTGAGCATCATAAATATGCCATAGAACTCAAAAATCAAGTTGATACTATTACAGCACAATTAAAAAATATATTGTTTGAAACAGATATATCAAAGAGCTCAGAAATGAGTTTTCCAAATCAATACCAAATAGGGACAGCTGGAAGCAGCAGTGGACCTAGACGTGGCAACATACCAACTGATAATAAAGGAAATTCCATTTCTGTATCATCAACTAAGAAAGTTATGATACATGGAGATAAAAAAGATACAAAACAATCAGCATCATAGACCAAGAAGATGAAATCCCTTTAGATCCAAACGAAAAAAAAGTATGTCGAACTAGTCAAAATCGCTTATGAAATAAAAATAAGTGATTTATATTTCATTTCTTCGGAAAATAATGTTTACCCCAGAATAACAGTCATGGAAGGAGGTGACCCTTCATTTATAAAAATCATGACAGACTATGGATTTATGGATTTGATTTATCCAGGAAATGATTTTATTGAAATTACAAAGTTTGATGACATATTCATTAAGGAAGTATCCAGATTTGCTAAGGGAATGAAGATATTTTTAAAATTCTATTCAATTAGTCTAGAATATGATGGAGTTGTTTACTATCCAGTTGAACACTTAATCTCAATTGGATATATTGCAGCCAATTTCCAAATTGATGTTACAGAGAATAATAAAAAAATTCCAACAGTGACAAAATCATGGATAAGACATAGAAGAGCACTTGAAATTAAAGCCATCTACAACATTGCCAAAAATTTGTTTGATAAAAAATTCTCGTGTCTGTGCCAATATGAAAATTGGATGTTGGTATCCAATAGAGGATATGCAAAATTAGAAATTTTAAAAGACTATATTACAAGATTTGATATACATCAATTTCCAAGATTTCCTACCACTATAAAAGAATCTTGCCAACTAAGGAAGTGCCCCAACTGTATGTGAAGAAATGAAAGAAGAAGACAAAGCACCTTTTGACAAAGGTGTATGAAGGATAATAATACTACATGTGAAGACATTGAAGATAAAGAGCAATAATAGAAAAAGATACTCTTTGGATAGAAAAGTTGAACCAATATGTGAAGATGTAGGCCCAAGGAAGAAAATAGAGAGGTAAGGGTGCCTTTGTTGATGTAATCAATGATATAATAGAGTCTCATAAACTTGTATAAATAGAGACATTACCATAGAAGAAAATCAGATCATCCTATCTTGAATTCTTGAGTTGTAAACAATAGCCTTTTTTCAGTTTAAAAAACCAGTTTTTCTGGAAATCCCTTTGTACCAAATAGAAGTCTTGTATCAATCCTGAAAAAAATAAAATTCCAATATTTTGATATCAATATGAATTTCTAAATCTTTTTCCCATAGATTCTTGAAGGATCTACTATAAAGTTTCCTTCTTTTTTTTAGCAAAAAATAGAGTTTTCTTTAACAGAAGTCTCGAATTTTATTTTCTAGAAGTTGATACAGTGCAAGCAAGTAGCTGAAATAGTAACAATTTTGTGAAGGCAGGAGGCTATTGAAGGAAGCAATTTACAAATTTAGAGCTCAAAGGTCTCTCGATTCTAAGAATACAGGTCTAAATCAAACCTAAGGTAAAACTATTAATCTTTTACTAAAATTAGAATGAATCTTTTTAAGATCTTAAAAGAATCACAGACACAATTGCATGATGATTATTTTGATAAATGCCAGGATATACAGTTGAATGATTAGATAATTTATTAGAAAAAATGTTAGAAGAAAAAAAGAATATTATATCTCAATTAAAAAATACAAATTTACCATTTGAAGAATATGGTATTTTATTAAGAAAATATGATATATATGTTGCGGATTATTCTTATTTATTAGATCATAAATTGACTTTATATTCAAATATCCAAAATAGAGTAAACAAAAGATAAAATGTTTAAAAGATCAGGACATATGTTGCAATATAGAAAGAATCATTTCATTAACGTATCCATAGTTTGAATCCACTTCTCAGCGGTCGAAGGCACAGTCTTCATCTCCTTGAATCGAATGTGATAATCTTCGAGGGCTAAGCTTAGTTCGCGTACTTCGGTGACCTCAGGCAAGCCCCAAGGGAAAGGTCAGCTGAACGAAGCTTGCTTGCTTGAAAGATTTCAGTTTCCTGGAAAAGGATATCGATAGGCGGATTGACGCATCTGAGCAGGCAGGGAATCCTTAGTGCTTTTCATATGAATGCTATGAGGCTTGGGGGCTTAGCTCTAGCTGCTCCAGATAAAAGAGATTGCGGCAACCTAGGGATCATCTGGTGAATGGTCTCAGGCAAGCATTAAGAAGTGCTCTTCCCGGTGCTTCCTCGTTGCCTATAATAATCAATCCTTAGAATCCGCTAATAGGGCCTTTGGTGCCTTGCGAAGAGACATCTTTGAGTCTAATAACCATAGTATGGGAAGGGTCCCTCTCTTTTTTTCCTTTAGGATAGCCGGGTGTAAGGTCAGCCCGAGCCGTTTTGCGGTTCTAGAGGACCCTGACTGATTTCCGCTCGTCGTTCCTCCCTGGCTTACCGTTTTCTTATTCTTTACTTCCACCCTTTTCTACTCAATCCAGAAAACAAGATCGGACGTTATTCCGGTTTATCTCCATTGGTAATATAGACATTTCTATAAAAAAGAATAGTGACAGGCCAAATAGAAAAATCTCCCGGTAAAATGATGGGCCAAGGGTCCAAGTCCAATTCGAACTCTAGCATCCTTTCTTCTTCTTTCCCTCCAAAAGACGAGAGTTGCAAAACCAAAAATGAAATGGAGCCATGGGAAGCATTGGATGTAGACGATTCTGGCCTTCCCTCTCTCCTCCGCCCCTGTAAACGCCAATTCCGCAACCACCCACCGCCGTCTACTTCCATCGCAAACCCTTTTCCTCAGTCGCCTGTTTCGCTTTCCTCACAGCAAGAAGACCTTCATACCTCTATTCAACAACGACCACAGCCTTCTACTTCTAAGCGCATTTCACAGATCCCGGGTCCTGCGGGAGTCGTGCAGGCCGCAATGCTTCGCAAATCTATGGGCCAAAGTAATCGGAATTTTGTGCCCTCGCGAGATAATCAAATGGACGGTGATAATGATAGTAATAATGGTATTCCTACACAGGAGTACATACGGAGGGCTATGGAAGATAATTCGGAATTCGATGAAGATTTCACCAGAAACCCTTGGTTTTGCGCCCTGGAATATCTGGGTAGTTTGTTGTACTTTACATACATACTTGATTTTTTATTTTATTTTTGTGCATTACTTTATTTCGTATGCCAATTGGTTGGAAAATATTGGTTTTCATTTATAATGCTCTTAGGTAGTTAGTTGTTGTATATGGCATTACGTTATTTCGTATGCCAATTGGTTGGAAAATATTGGTTTTCATTTATAATGCTCTTATAATGCTCTTAGTAGTCAGTTGTTGTATAAGTGTCATGGGTATATTCACATATCTAAGTATAGATGACTATTTTTTATTTATTTTCAATGATTTTTAAGGTGTATTGTGTAGTGAAAATGTTGGGTTATAATTTGTAATTTTTGCAGGCACTTTAAATGGTGTCATTCCATGTACATCAGTAAGCTCTATAAAGAAATGCTTGGATGTTGGCAAGGTTGATAAGGTATTTATAGTATAATTTTAGCTTTAATATAGATGAACAGAGACACAGACACAGAGAGACAAGAGACAAGATTGATTCTAGAGTTCTGTATAAAATATAATTGGATGATTTTAAGTGTTTCTTATGCACCGTGTGTAATGTGAATTTGCGAATGATGAAGAGGGGAAATTACGTTGTTAAGATAAAATATGTCATAATTAGTAAATGCTTAGATTTGGTTCAGTATAATAATTGTCAGCTGTAGTTTACTTTTAGAAAAGACAGCAACTCACTGTCTTTTATGCATTGGCACAGAAGTAACACTTACCAACATTGTTGAGCAGTGACATAGCCAAGTGAAAGGGAAGTCATAGATGGATATGAATGCTGAAAGATAGGTAAAAAGGGGTAGATATTGTGGCTTTCGTGTAAAAGAAAAAATGGAATAGGGTACATATAAATGAACAGGGGAAGAGAGAATACTCATTTTCAGTTGATAAGACTATGCCATCTACATATGTATGAAGGTGCATTCGTGTGTACGAGTTATGCAGAACCTACATAAGATAATTGTGTATGTAAGCATACGAACCTTTTAGTCTCTACTTAGATCTTGTATCTCTTTTTTGTGTGTGATTAGGTTGTGGCTGTCATCAAGTCATGCACGCCTAATGGTCTTGGGGGTCTGATAGTGACCTTGAAGGTATAAATTGGACAATATGGACGACAACAGTGTCAAGGGGGTTTATATACTGATTTCATTATCTTTGAATTTAGGATCCTACTGGTACAATTGGTGCCAGCATACATCAAAAAGTCCTCACTGAGAGTGAGTATGGAAAGGACTTGACAATTGGTGCAGCGTTAATACTTCAAAAGGTATTTTCTGATTTTAATTTCTACTTTTTGCAGATTTTTTTATTATTCTACGTATCAAAGTATTCTGTGGAGCAAAAAGCTTTTTATTTAAGTTTTACCTTCCATTTTGCATTTGTTGATGAACATAAGTTGTATTTCAGGTTTCGATTTTTAAGCCTTTGCGATCTGCACATTATCTCAATATAACACTGAGGAATTTGATAAAGGTGAAGTTTCTTTCCAATGCTTCTTTTAGATATAAATACTAATTAACATGCAGTGTCATATAATCAACAATACTAGCTGACCCTAATTTATTGGGAATAAAACTTAGTTATTAGTTGTATATAATCCGGAATACTGCCTAGTGTAAAGAATAATATTTAAGACTACGCCTTCAATGACTGCAGTTTGTGTGGTTATCTTTAAACTTATTTTCTCTTAATAACACTCCTCAACCAACCTAGACTCAATGCCGTTTCCTGATTAATAAAGGGTGAGAGATATAAGGGCATCTCCTTGAAACAGTCCTCTTAAACAATTTTTTCCCCATTAGATGAGATTCATGGAAGACGCTCTTAAAAATGATTTGGATTGTTCATAATTCTTTAACGGTTCTGGTATACAAGATTGCACAAATCGGTTGTTCTTGACATGAATACTAATTCTGTTTTATTCTAAGACTTTGTGCTGCAGTACCAGATTCAACCAATACTGCAAATTTGCAGGAAGAAGTATTATTTCGATCTTATTGTAACGTAGAAGTATCAATATCTCAAAGCTATAGCTTATTGTGCTTTGAGTTTGTCATGGAGAATCAATTCCATCATGTCTTGAATTACAAAGTGTGTCACCTTACATAACATCGGTCGGTTAGAAAAAGCTTTATTAGTTCAAAAAGAATCTCAGATTTGAAATATCAGGTGAAGTTCAGCATTCTGGAAAGATCAATCAATGTTTGCACTGTCCATGTTGAAATCTTATTTTGTTTGCTACTTGTGAAAGTAATTGCAATCCTGTTCACTCCCCGCCAGTTTCAATCATCTTGTGTCCTTTGACGTGTGCATATGAGTTTTATTACAATGTTGTTCTCAGGCGTTGAGGTAATGTCCCAAAATGTGCTTTCCACGAAGTATGTCTTGCAAGAAACTAGAAGCACAACTTATTGTTACACATTTTTCCAATCTGATGGAGAACTTATAAATCCAGTTACTTGGAATTCATGGACTGAATAGACCTTTATGCTGATACACGCTGTTTAGATGCATGTATAGTTTTTTATTTGCTTATACATATATCTCCATATGTAGACACCAATATACCTCTATGGTACATGAGTCCCTACATATTTGAACACTTCTTGTAGCTAGCTTTCCGTTTCAGAATCTGTTTTCCAGTTTCTCTCAGAATTATGTAATGCTGTACTCCTGGTGAATAATCAACCATAGAGAGAGCTTTCCTGTGAAACCTTTGTACGGATTACATTATTGGGGGAGGATGTTTTCAAGCAAAAGATAGAGAACGAGTTCTTACAGAAATCATTATAGCAAGGATTTATAGCAAGCTCATATAGCCCATGTATGACCCATTCTAAAAAAAACTCATTTTCAACCATACATTCTAACTTTTTCTACTTTTAACCACAGATTCCCCAAAAAATAACTGTTACAAAACTTATTTTCTACAAAAATGGGGCTTGAACACTTACATCATTGCATGCTATTCTCAATTTGTATCTTTCATTCCCAAATACAAGACCTCTTGAATGATCAGTTGATTTACTTGGTTGCAATGGACAGTAGTAATATTATTTTCAGAATAACACCAAGACAATTTTATGACATCGTGGACATGAGCAGCATGTAATGATATGTATAAAGTATTCTCAAGTTTGTATTCCTATTAATCTGAAGATGCTCTTAGGTATTGTCTTTCTTCAAGTATTTATGATGGTTTTATCTGCAGGTATTTGGCAAGGAAAATGGTCCCCCATCTGAACAGAAGTATTCTGCATATTCTTTTCAATTTGCTGATCCTGGCATTGGTATGTGAAAGACCTTGTATTAACTAACCCATAATTTTCTGGAATCAAAATCATTGAAAGGTTAATGTTTCCTCATGGATGTTTGTGTAGAATGTACATACTGGCAGCCTTTAATTTGAAAAAAACTATTTTTTGAATAGTCTTTTTGGAGAATGTGTGGTAGTCTTTTTGGAGAATGAGTGGTCAGATGTAGGGAAAAGTTTTGATTTTACGCGTAGAATATTTTATCGTGTGAATGTGTGTTTGAAAATGAGTACAAGAAATAAATTAAAGACTACCAAATAGGGGCTTTATTTGGCTGTTAGTGTATTTTTATTGTCTGATTATTTATGCACATTTGCCTCTCCAGACTACTGTGGAAAAGCCAGCACAACGGAGAAGATGTCCACTTTGAAAAATAGAAGAGTGGAGAACTCCCCCGTTGAGTCTCGACAATTCACCCAAAGAAGAGAAGATTTAATGCATAAGAATAATAAGGAGAAAGAAAATATGTTATCGGGGAGTTTCCACTACAGCAACAGAACTAGCATAAACCTAAATGCGGCCGTGAAGAAAGGTGCCCTGGAAAAAGTGGCCGAAGATGCAACCAGAACAAGAACGCAGGATCATCACCACGAGTTCTCAACTGTTAATGACGAAAGGGCGAACGAGAGTAATGCACAAGGCAGCCTCATAAACAATAGCCCTGTTTCAAACTTAGAAGTCCAGAGCACCAACGGAGTTGAGATAGCAAAACAGCAACTTATGGTGAAACAGTCCCTTCCACAGTGGACAGATGCACAACTAGACGAGCTTTTTGCTACTGATGACGATGATGGCTTTTTATTCTGACACAGATTTTCTTATCTGTCATTTTTGCTACATGTTGAAGGGACGTTGGGACATATTTTGCAGAACTAAAATGTAATATATCACTTTTCTCTCTTAACAAATAAGCAAACTCGAAAGCCTTAAAGCAGAAGAAAGGAAGAACCCCAACATTGTCTGATTGTAAAGATAAACTTAAATGCAGTAACCAAATGGATGGTCAGCGCTCTTTGGATCTCAATGGCTTCCGATGAGATTATTGAGCTGATCATTGTTCTAAATCTGTTTGTGTATGTCGCACTCTTGATGCATGCATATTTAGGTGTAAAATTGGGACACGTCGAGTGTTCAACTGGACTTGATACCCTTTTCAAGTTTTTTGGTAATTTTTCAAGTAGTTTTCTATTGAAAAAAATGTTGCGTTGGGCTCTCTACATGTTGCAAAGCAAGAATGACGGGTTGCATGGTTGTTGAGGTGGTGGGGGTACCCTTCACTTTGGATTTTTGGATACTCCTCTCTAGAGGGTTACTCCATCCACGCTGGGGTCAGAAGACAACGGTAGTGGTATGGACAGGGCTGCTTATACGGAGATGAGTTTGCTACAGGACGCTTGTTTGAGATTGGTCCTGATCGCTTTGACATTTTCAAGTAAGGGAACTTCAATTTTCACTGTCTTATATGTTTTGGCCCGGCTTACCCGCCTCCAAAAAAAGACTCAGTTCTAAAAAAAAAAAAGATGCCTTTTTGGCTTCTTTCTGAGCATTCAAGCCAGGCCAAACATGCTAGAATTTATTAATCAAAGAGTGTTGTTAGAGAAAAAATGAAATTTAAAGGAAAGTAAGACAAAAATGAAATTTAAAGGAAAGTAAGACTTGCCAGCGCCCACACGGAAAACTTTTGCAATTCAAAGTTCAAAATATTAATCATGTGTTGGTTTCCAAACATCATAGACTCATCAAAAGTACACTTCCATTATTTTCATCAAAATTCTTCATAATAAAGGAAGAAAAAGGGAAATTAGTATTTACTTTGCAGAATAGGTCGAACCCTACTCAGCGGAGAACTCATACAGCATGCTGTGTTTATACTTCTCGCCTGGTTGAACAACAATAGATGGAAAATTTGGTTGGTTGATGGCATTAGGAAATCCTTGTGTCTCAAGACAGACCCCAGATTGCTTTCCATACACAACACCACCTTTACCGACGATACCATTCACATAATTTGCAGTGTAAAACTGCATAGCAGGAGCATTGGTCCATAAATTCAGAGTCCTTGAGCTAGCCGGATCCTTCAATTTTGCTGCATGCTTCAACCCCAACTTTTCATCTCCACAGTCGAGCACATAATTATGGTCATATCCGAGTCCAACCTGGTGGATACGACTACCAATTTTATTTTCAGTGGTGAAGTCGAATGGAGTTCCTTCGACTGGCATGATTTCACCGGTTGGGACAGTGTTGTGATCCACAGGAGTTATATGCTTTGCCCATATCTGAATTGTATGATCAAGAACATTTCCTGAATTATGACCTGCTAAATTCCAATATGTGTGTTGAGCTAAACTGATAGGTGTTGGTTTATTTTCCGGAACTGCTTCCATGTCAAGCCTCATGGTCGTCTTAGACACGAGTGTATAACTTGCAGTGATGTGGACATCGCCTGGATAACCTGCAATGTATCATAGAGAGGAGGTAGTGTTCTTATGCTCGTTTATAGGTACGTGCACATGTGTGTGAGAGAGAGGGAGGGAGGCAGTACCTTCTTCACCATCACGAGAATGATATTTGAAGGTAATTGATGGTTTTTCACCTTGTTTATACTCAGCAACTTCCCAAATAACCTTGTCATATCCCTTGTGTCCACCTGTACACGAGATAAGTTCAGAAGAGGTTCAAGAAAAGTGAACTAACATTGAAATATCATTACATTTAGATAAGGCATATTCTTAACTTTTGTAAATTTGGATACGCAAGAAGATTGAAGAAGTACTAAAGAATCAAAGAAGGGCATGGCTTGGAAAACAGTGGAAGTATATAAACAGACGAATGTTCAAATTGTCTTTTCTATCCTCCCGTACGATGCATTGAGCACCTAAGAGATAACCAACATATATGAAGATCTCAGAAGATTAATACCGTGGAGACTGTTTGGTGGCTTGTTGATTGGCAAAGAGTATTCAACGCCATTGAGCATAAATTTCCCATCTTTGATCCTGTTTGCTACCCGGCCAACAATGCAGCCAAAAAAAGGTGCCGCTCCTTTCTACACAAACAAATCCAAAACAAATAGAGTAATGCTTGAAGTACACAATGGACACCATAATGGTGTCCATAATGCCCAAGTGGTGCCCCCTTATTGGAGGGGGCGCCTGTGGGACTGAGAGGGGGCGCGCCGCTTGGGCATTATGGACACCATTGTGGTGTCTATTATGTTCAAGAAGAATAATCCAAACAAATACATTATCTCCCACAAAATGGGTTAAAAACACTGTTAGCTACCTCAACCTAAACTTACACTGAACTTTATTTTGCTTCAAAGTACCGATTTTGAACATTTATGAGCGGACTGATTTTGGGTGACTTTTAGTAGCAAATTTTAAAATAGTCCAACCCATGCTTCAGAGTATATTATCCACTGGTTTTGAAAGTTTTTCCTTAAAAAATAAAATTACATACATGCGCTTTATTAAATTTCAATTTATAATTTCTTTATGAAATTTTATTACTCATAAGTGATATTTTCTTATAATTATTATTTTTTACATCAAAGTCAATATTTAACATAAAATATTTACTTATAATAAGTTTTAAGTTAGTATTTTTTACTACGGTTATAATTTAATTATGCACTTTCAAATAATTTTTATACATAAATGAATTTTTCACTTATAAGTAACTTTTTTTTTTTTTTTAATATTTTATAAGTAAAAAACTCCTCGGCAGGCCTAAGTAGTTACTGAATTTTAAAATTTTTGGTTTGGTCACTCATTTAAAATCCAGTAATGGGCCAACATTCCAAGAACGAATTTCCCACAAAAAACACAAGATCGATCAACGGTAAAATTTCAACGGGTTTTCAGTAAAAGTGATGTACAAATCTAACTCACCAGATAGGGTTCAAGCGTGTCAAATCCAAGAACAATATCAGTCAATTTCCCTAAAAAAATTCACAAAAAAAAAAATAATAATAATAATAATAAAAAATCATCAAATATCACTAAAACAAGTTCACCTGGAAGAACTACAAATTTAAGATTTCGAACAATAAATTTAGTGAATCCAAAAGAGTACCATCTTTATCTGGCACCGACAGAGAAGTAATGGTGCAGCCATAATTGGAGACGTTGACTTTCATGGTGCCATTGTTGAGTTCAAAAAGCTTCGCTTCCGCCATTAAAAAACTTGCAGATTCCTCTATTGAGAATGATCTGATGGATGTGGAAGAGAAGATTGACCGGTGTTAACGGAGAGAGGGAATTGGATTCTAAGAATATAGATAAGGACAATTTGATTTGATCAACCTACCGTTTTTCATTTATTTATTTGAGTTAATTGTTTTATCAGCAAGTGAACTTAGTCCCATATCTTTGATTAATTACAGAAGTTAATGTCGAATTTTGATTACTGAACTTATGTTCATGTTCATGATTGCTAACTAAAGTTTAAAATGTCGAATTTTGACCATTGAACTTTAAAAAATATTGTATATTACTCACTGAAATTTAAAAAATACTATACATTACTCACCGTAAATTCGATATTTTTTAAAATTCAATAGATATGCTATTAAATAACGTACAACATATTTTAAAGTTCAGTGATCAAAACTCGACATTTTAACTTCAATAAACAATCTAAGACATTGGCCTAAGTTCAGTGAACAATTGAAGATATTGACCCAAGTTTAGTGAACAAAATTAGACACTTTAAACTTCAGTGACCAATAAAAAATATGGACCAAAATTTAGTGACAATTGGAACAATTAACTCTTATTTATTTATTTCGAGAATTTTTACTTCATCGAAAATTAGCCTCTCATGTTCTTTTTCAATCTTAAAGAAGAAAAAAGAAAAAAGAAAAAAAAGATGATACTATATGTACATCAATACTTTACATAAAACTTTACATGAGATTATCTCTTCCATACAATTACCTCCAGCCACATACTACTTTTAGACATTCTCTTCTGGCAGAGTAACTTTTATAAAAAAAAGGTTCCCATAGATAATTTACTAGAAAGAGAACTAAAGCCTTATTTGATTCTTTTTTTTTTCTAAAATAAATTTTTTTTTAATAAAATAATATTAAACGTAAATTTAATTTTTATTCTTATTTTTAATTACATGTTTTTCAACAATCTATTGTTCAAAAATGCATTTTTTTCAATTTAATGGGACTCAAACAAGTCCTAAGGTTGTTAACTTAGTTTTTTAATGCTAGTTCTGTCAATTAGGGGTGGACGTGGATTATGTTGAGTTGGGTTGGTTTTTTCCAATTCAACATGGCCGGTTTGATAAAAAATAAACCTAATCCAATCCAACTATTGATTTGAACCCAACCCAGTTTTGGTCGGTTTGGGCTTCGACCCATTTAAAGTTGGATCGATTTATTTATTAATTTTGGATAATTATTTAGAGTTGGAAATTACTTGAAAATCTTCTATTTTTAAACACATATACAAGGAATTATTTCTAAATAATGTATAAATAAGTTTGTAAATTATATGTCATTCTCTTATTTTTACTATTGTGTCTATTTAAATTATTTTTTCATCTTGAAAATTAATTTTTTAATTCAACGGATTGGGTTGGATTTTAATTCATAACCCGAGATCCTACCCAACCCAACCTCAAATTCAATTTTCCAACCCAATCCAATTGAAGTTGGTTTGATTTGGGTTGGTCGGATTGAGTGATTTGGGTTGGATTATGCTCAGCCCTACTGTCAATACAATATTCCCAGTTCTTTTAACAACTCTTGGGCCCAATTAAGGCCCATAAAAGGAACAAACCCTACCCTACTCTTAAACCTATTTATGGGCACACCTTTCCTTCCTTCGTATACCGTCATTCAGCATTGAGAGAACTCGAATATTTCTGCTTTCGTCTCCGATGCGTCCAAGGTAGTAGTGTATGTGATCTTAAATTGATTTCTGTTTAATTTTGATTAAAGAAGGAAAAGGCAATCATGCAGCGTCGCTGATGCGCTCTGAATAGCGGAATCGGCCCTTTTAGTTGCCGAAATTTGTCTCACCGGCGCGAGTTTTATATGCTTGCATGTGCCGTCTGCCATTTTATACGGCTCGTGCACTGATATGCTCGTATATCTAACCAATTTCAATTATTTTTTTAGAAAATTAATGTAAAATCTCTCTCTGATTTGAAAACGGTTGATTTGGATTTAAGTGGGTTTGATTGGATCGATTGTTCTTTAAGGGTCATGCTTGTGTTAATGATAGAGATTTCCACACTTTACCTCGACGAAGGAGGTGTAGAACATATTTACCTTGTCAGGAAAAAAGTTTGCCACAGAACTTCTCCCCTTCTAACCCCTTAGAAGTAGTGCAAAGTCAACTAAGCTCTGGTTTGGTTTTATCAACATTAATTTAAAATTTGAGGTGATTTTAATCATTACATTACATGGGCTCTATAATTTTTTAATTTGATATTTAATCAAATTTTTCAAAGTTTTACAAAAATTTTGATTCATATATTGATAATTTTGATATGAGGTACTTCAATGACTTGATTGTCAATTAAAAGAATAAAATTTGTTTGTCTTTATTCTACATGAAAATTATCAATTAAAAGAATAAAATTTGTTACAATTGTGGATAGAATTTGTTTCCATTGGGGAAAAAGAAAAAAGGAAACTTGGAAAAGCCAATTCCCACCAAAACTATGGGAATTGGTTTCCCATCAATTGATTGAAAACAAGTCACGGGAGGGGGAAAGAGAGAAAATGAATTCATGGAAATTTTGCCCAAACAAATTTCATGGAAAATTATCTATATCAAATAAGGACTTTGTGTTCTCAATTAGAATGTTTTTCAATTGGAAGCTATCATATAACTTATTTTGCTGGAAGGAATAGAGTGTGATTTTAGCAAAAGTCATCAGTACAATAACTGCAAAAGAGAGCATGCTGAGTGGTGGAAGCAATAACACATGATAAAAGTAGTTTGTAGGAAATGTAGACAATATTGACAGATCAAACAAAATTATCAAAAAGGTGGAGCAGACTTGATTGATTAAGAAAAGCTAGATCCATTCATATAGCTCCCGTTTAACCCTCATTTTGTAGAAATAAAATGAGTGAAATAATATTTTTTTTTAAAATAAGTGATTGAAGAAAAAAAAATTTTCGATTTACGTGTAATATTATTTTATGAAAGATTGTGTTGTTAAAAATAAAAAAAATAAAAATGAAATATAATGAAATGAAATTAATGGGGGCCAAACGGAGAAATAATTTCTCTCTCTTCAAGGGAGACGAAGAATTTGATTAAGACAGATTTGCTAGTTACTATGATGAATGTGTTATTGTTAACATTTCACAAATTTGCGCACAGATATTCTTTTGACATTAATGCAGAATGTGCGATGAAATTTAAGCTCACGATAAAATCAAACATGGGGGGTTGAATCAAAGCCTTTTAACGAGATTATTTTACACAAGCCAATAGGAAATTTTTAGAATTTGTTCAATAGAAATGTTTATATTATTTATGGTGGAATCGGAAAATTCTACATATTGATAATTGTAGCTATGCCTATGCTCGTGAAATGCAATGCAAGAAGGAAAAGTGCACGTGACATATATTGCTTAAAATTCAGGATTCATGAGTTTTAATTAAGAATAAAAAAAAAAAAAAAAAAAAAAAAAAAAAAACCTCAACTTTGAGAACCTCCACCGACCCGCCTTTAGAACATCGTGAAGGAGTTAAACTGCGAAATGTGTCCCATCATGTCAAAGAATAAGAACTTGCCTGTGCACTGATATCCAAAAAGTGTCCAATTTCATATCTCAGGAAGAACCCTCACACTGCGACTGAAGGTCATATTATCATACATAACCTCGTGTAAAGTTATTTTTAAAGAAATGATTTTTTATAGAAAATTAGGAAAAATTATTTTTACAGAGCTTTCATTTTAAGTAAATTGTATCCTCAAAAATGTTCGAATAACTTATTTTTTTAATTCTCTTATAAAATATAAATTTTGAGTATGAAACAATTATTTTTCATTTTTAATAAAATAGAAAATAATCAAAAAAATTCTACGATGCAAACTTATAACTTATGAGCGAACATTTATGTGGGTGTATTCAATTGAACTTTTTGAAAATTTTGATACACTTTTTTTAAGTGATGTCTTTTTTTGATGTCATAGATATTTTATAAATTTGTATGAAATTAGTGAAAGTTTTTCATAAACTTCTATGAATTTTCATTTTAAAATTTTTATTAACTAACAGTAAAATTCAGAAGACTTTCATTTAAAATATAATTCAAGTGGATCTAGTATAATGGTGTGAAATTCTCACATACGGGATGTTGGTTCCTACAATTCCCCTTTTTCCTACCCTTCTTCTTGTATAATTTAAAAGAAAATATTTAAAAGAATAAAAATTTAAGATCTTAATTAAATAAATAATAATCAAAATTATACATATATATGATAATTTAATATTCAATATTGCTAATATAATATGATTTTAAAAATAAATAAAAATTAATGTATTTTAATTTAATTATAAATTTTTCATTTAAAATTTTATAATTTAATAAAAAATAGATATTTTCACCCAAAAAATTAATAAAAAAGAAAAAAGTTATAAGAATCCAATTTAATTTTTTTTCAGAAGAAATAGAGACAAACAATATAAGAGAGAGAAAGATAAATAGAAATAAATATAATCAGTAGAATTTTTTTTTTACTCATACATCTAATATTGTAGAAGGAAAAAGAAAAGAAAGATTGATTTTTTATTTTTGGTGAAAGTCTTTCAAAATCTCATGATTAGTAAAATATAAATTTTAAAATTTTATATGAGTACTTTCTATTTAAAAGTTAATTTTTTAAAAGTCATTAAAATTTTAATACTCAAAATTTATAGGGATTTTTAATTTTTTTTTAATTGAATACACTGTAATTTTTATGAACTTTTTAAAAATCTATAAAAATATCAATTAAATATAATGTAACTTTTATAAATTTCTTAAAAATTTATAGAAATTTCAATTGAATAATCAATCTTCTGAAAAAATTTACATTTGATACCTTTAAATTTTTTAAATCTCTAAACCCCTTAAAAATTTAGCCAAATTGCAATTGCATTTCTATTCAGAGTCACATTCTTTTCCTTTCTTATCCATTTCCATCCATAGTCCAAAATTTTCAACTCAGCACCAGTCTCAAAAAAACCCAACGTACATACAGAGAGAGTGAAAGCGAGTGAGAGTGATGCTGTTTCCACTGCTTCAGCCATTAGCCTGCATTTATCCATGGCAGGGCTGCGATGTAGCTCAAAATTTTAAGAAAATATAAAGAGGAAACAAGGAAGAAGGATAAAGATGGTGTTTAAGGGGAGATTTTTCTCTTCCAAAAAATCCGACACTTCAAGCAGCGATGGATCCTCCAACTGTCCTAGATCTACAGTTTCAAACTCCAGTTCCCCAATTGGATCCGATAAAAAGAAACCTAAATCATCGTTCAAAGATAAATCCACTGTAGCCATCACTCGCACTTCCACACCCACCAGCAGCAGCAAAAACGAAAAAAAGGATTCAAAATACAAAGAAGCTCAAAATTTAAGTAGATCCAGTTCCGGAATATTGGGTTCTTCTTCTTCTTCCAAGTTGAATAAATCCGAGGAGGCGGCAGCAAGTCCTAAGTCGGCGTCGGTTTCTCCACTAGTGGCATCGTCTTTGGGTTTAAACAAGATAAAGACCCGATCGGGGCCGTTGCTACAGGAGAGTTTCTTAAGTTTTGGGAGTAGGGATAAGGGGGCTTCGTTGGGTTCTAGTAACTTGTCGAAGCCACTTGGTGGTAGCGGCGACATTGGTGGTGGTGTTGATGGCGGTTTGAGTTTGGGGTCTGGGAAGGAGGTGAAGTTATTGGTGGAAAATGCTGACAGTCGGAACCATTCGGATAACACATCGATGGAGAGCGGACCATCACGGGACCAGAGCCCGCACGTGGTCCAGGCCCAGGTTCGTTCTCGCCTTCAAAATGGGGAGTCATCTTCTGAAACTGCTGGTATATTTATTTGTGTTTACTGCAAAATACATCTAAGTTACATTATGTGATTGTTTGGGCATTGTCGTGGTTACATTTCCTGTTAGGTGTCAGTATTTTGTTGTGAACTTGAAGGAGTATGATATTAGTAATTACTATTGCCTGATAACTTGTACAATAGGGTAATTAATGTTGTATGTAGGAAATCGATAATGTCAGAATTTTGTTTGGTTGACACATTAAATTGCTGAACTGATAAACAGAACATGCGGGAGGAAGTTTTGAGAGAGTTTGAGTGGACCTTGATCCTTATATCAAGGCGTACCCCTCCTTTCCCTCTGGGCATTGAGAGAGTGGGTTTTACAGTTGATCATTCCACAGCTCTGTTTTTGAAAACAGAATAGGGCCTCAGTATATGCAGAAGAAGTGAATAAAGACGAGGAGGATGTTGAAAATATTTTAAACAGAAATGCATTGGTATCTTGCTTATTGCTATGTCAATGTGTCGAAGGACAAAGTAATATTGTTTAATTATTTTGATGGATGAAGTGAGCATTATTTACATTTTTTCAAGAGCCAAGGAATTTGAAAAGAAAATGAGAGATAAATTGTGAGACTAGCTAAGATGTGTAAGTTTTACATTGTCCAAACCCTTAAAAGCATAGCTGAAGTATTTAAGCTGATTGAAGAAATCTTCAGTAACTGAGAGAAAAAAAGACGTGGAAATATGTACATAATTCACTTAAAAAACAATGCATCACTTCTTTTTGCCTTAATTTATTAGTGAAATGATTGAATAATGCAGTTAGAATTAACTATTGAATGTTAAGCGTACTCACTAAAAGTAAAGAGGGATTTAAGAGTTATATATTCTCATAGATGTGAACATGTTGCAAAATATCCGTAAAATTTGATTTATATAAAACAATGGCTACCATATTGGATACTAATTAATGTAGCCATAGTAAAAGTTCTTACGAGTTTGAGTAGCTTAGTGGAAAGCAGTTTACTTAATGGGACAAGGTTTTGCATTGTGGGACCCTGCAAAAATAAAACTTGCTTCCATAGTCAGCCTGGAATCAATTAAGTAAAATTATTTCTCCAGGTGTTACTATGATTAGATATGAGGCATGTGCATTTATCTTTAAGCTTCATATGGAATTCTTTCATTTGTAGTAACATAATATGAAGCTAATATTAATTTATTTGAAATAATTAATAATAATCCCATTACAGAATATAATTTGCAGAATCCCATTACAATATAATCTTTCATATTAATAATTGATTTACAATTACACAACTGCTGGATTTACAAAATAATTTACACATTTAAAATTAATCAAATGTAAATCACACAACGAAGGGGCAGATGAGGAAACTATTTAGTAGATTATTGAAATTATAACTGCTGAAAATATAAAACTTATAAACAGTAATTACTGAATAGCATGAAAAATCAAAGGGCTAAGAACATGGATTTTCGGTGATTTAGGGCACAGAAATAACACTAATTAGTGGTGAAAGGTTAAAAAAAAAAAAGCTGGAGAAATGGACGGGGAATACAAGGTGAAAGGAAAAAAAAGAAAAGAAGAGAAGAGAAGTGGCTTGTGATTTGACAAGAAGTGAATGAACAAAAAATTGGAACAGGTGAAAGGTAGAGAGTGGGTCTCACCTATGAGTGAGGAAGTAAAAAATGACGACTGAGATGGTGAAAGAACAATTAAAAAATTGATTTTTTGAGGTAAAAAATTGCTACCAAACGGGGATTATATCATTTATGTTCCTGGTGGGCACACTCAGTCTGGTTGTGAGTATGTGTTGACTGTTGTAGCATGTGTGGGAATATTACAAAAATGATTCTTTGGTCTCATGTAAAACTTAGCTTTATGTAGAACTCTGGGGATTTACTAATGTCTAATTAAGTTCATGCTAGGGTTGCCTGTTAAAATCCTCTGTCATGGATGTAGTTTTTCTTATTTTCAACTGGCTAATATTATTTTGCAAGGTCGATTCAATGCATCATGTGGTCATTCTGGAGGGGTAAGGAGTTCAGATGCATGTACGCCTGAGATAAAGGTAAAAAGGTCAATTTTTCTGAAGACGACAAAGCGTAGTACCTCAGAAATATTTCTGATGCTATTTAATTATCTATTTGCAATTGTACTAAATATAAACAAGCTGAAATTTAACTTACTTCGTAGGCATCATATGATTGTGAGAACCCGAAGGAGTCTGAATCTCCCCGTTTTCAAGCTATACTCCGTGTTACAAGTGCTCCCAGGAAGAGGCTTCCTGGTGATATCAAAAGTTTCTCTCATGAATTGAATTCCAAAGGTGTACGACCATACCCATTTTGGAAGCCTCGACGCTTAAATAATCTGGAGGTAATTAGATTTATGTACCCTTATCCCTAAGTTGACAGATTTCACTATTTTTAAATTTGAGATATTCATTATTATGTTTCGATTGCCACAGGAGGTATTAACTATGATAAGGACAAAATTTGACAAGGCAAAGGAAGAAGTGGATTCTGATCTGCATATTTTTGCAGCAGACCTGGTTGGAATTCTGGAAAAGAATGTAGAAAGTCATCCAGAATGGCAGGAGACTTTAGAGGACTTGTTGGTTTTGGCTCGGAGCTGTGCCATGACATCTCCTGGAGAATTTTGGCTTCAGTGTGAAGGCATAGTTCAAGATTTGGATGATAAGCGTCAGGAACTTCCTATGGGAATGCTTAAGCAACTTCATACTCGAATGCTTTTCATTCTCACGAGGTGCACAAGATTGTTGCAGTTCCACAAGGAAAGTGCGTTCACTGAGGATGACCATGTTTTTCAGCTCCGGCAATCACTACAGCCTGCAGATAAACATGTTTCTCAGGTTGTGGAAAAGGATAAGAATATTCCTAGTGCTTCAAAAGCCACGAAGACACCGTCTGCAAGAAAATACTACAGTCAAGAACAACATGGATTAGAGTGGAAAAGAGACTATGCTGCAAAAGGAAATTTTCAACCCTCACCTGCTGGCACTGCAAACGAGGTAGATTCTACTGCTAGTGGGAATCAGATGGCTTCTTGGAAGCAATTTTCTTCTTCTTCTAGAAAAAGTCCCAAAGACGCTGCTTCATCGAAGGAACAGAATGACAAAATCATGGAAGCTTCGAAACTATTAAACAGCAGGAGAGGAAATCATGATGCCGTTCTGGCTACTGCTAATGCTAATGTTAATGTTACTGAGCTTCCTCCTGCTAAAGATTCTACTGGACAGTCTGCCATGCCCTCCAAGCACCAACATAAAGTTTCCTGGGGCTACTGGGGAGATCAGCCAGGCATTGCTGATGAAAGCTCAATAATTTGTCGCATTTGTGAGGAGCAGGTTCCCACTTTGCATGTGGAAGACCACTCTAGAATTTGTGCAATTGCTGATCGATGTGATCAAAAGGGTTTAAGTGTCAATGAACGCCTACTTAGAATTGCTGGAACTCTTGAGAAGCTGATGGATTCATTTTCACAGAAGGACTTCCAACATGCTGTTGGAAGCCCAGATGTCGTCAAAGTATCAAACTCAAGTGTGACAGAAGAATCGGATCTTCTTTCTCCAAAACTCAGTGATTGGTCTCGTAGAGGCTCAGAAGACACGCTGGATTGTTTTCCAGAAACAGACAATTTCTTATTCATGGACGAGCTCAAGGGTTTGCCTTCCATGCTATCTAAAACTCGCTTTGGTCCAAAATCGGACCAAGGAATGACAACATCATCGGCAGGAAGCATGACTCCTAGGTCACCATTGATGACACCAACAATGAGCCAGATAGACTTGCTTTTGTCTGGGAAAGGTTCTTTCTCTGAACATGGTGATCTTCCTCAGGTTCTGGCCTCACTGAATTCATTTTTCAATGAATTTCTTCTACATCACTGTCGTCGTCGTCGTCAGCATTTAAAAGCTGGAACCGGACATCGACCGGAGAGCGTCAAGGGTCAAACTGGTTGTTAAAAGCACACACACACACCAAAAAAAAAAAAAAAAAACCAATATTGGACAAGTATTGGATAATACTACAAATTGAAAGGCATGGTCCCAATTATGAAAAAGCATTAACATTAAGTATCAATATGAACTAACTCCCACGAAATGGTAACAATGAGAAATGAAAAAAATAATATCCAGCGCATGACATTTGAAAGTTCATGATTGGGATGAGAGGAGGAAATGTTATAAAAGGGGTGTGATGTATGAACAATGATTGAAGCAGTATGTGCAGGAAACTGCTGTGCGGGTGTGGGATTCATGATAGAAATCCATTGTTGAGTATTTCTTTGTTTTTTTCACTTTAAAAAATTGATCATGCAAAACTGGGAAAACTGCCAATGATTCACTGGGTTCTGCTTGCACTGGTTGGTTCTGAGGTTTAGCAGCCGTTTCTTATTAGACGGTTACCAACCTTGTTTTATCGGTTGAACTGTCCGGTACCTGCCAATTCTGATCACATTGGTTTTTATAACTTAGTTTCATGAATTATTGCTCCACATTGATGATTGAAATATAAAATTCATAAGTCTTGTACTTGTTAAATTAGAATGGTTTTGCTTGTACAACTGCTTTACACTTTGCCGTATCAATTTTTTGTTAAATTGTAGATTCTGTTTGACTATAACATGTGATATATACCTGTATCTAAGTGTATATTCATGTATTCGTTTAGTACTATAGTCAACTTTCTGTTGAAGTAGAAACAAATCGATGCTACAACAGAAAATTTGACCTTACTTTCCTCCAAGCCAGTTTGCTGAGTTATATTTATCTGTATGGTAAAGTAAAAGGACTGTCCAAGAGGAGAGAACGGTAGAACAAAATAAAATGAAGGATAACTTTACAAGCTTATTGATTGGTCAGTGCCGAAAAGATTCTCTTAGACGTCTTTATTTATTTCTTAGTTTTCTTTCTTGTCAGAATCTTTTCTTTGGAATATGAATATCTTCTTTGAGAAGGAGGGTCATGTCCTGTACTGTTCTTTGTATCACTGGTAAACCATGATAATACTAGACAAAATATTTGTGGTTTATTTGAAAGGAATGAAATTGCATCTGCCTATGGGTTGAAGTTGAGGTTGAGCATGCTTTACTTAAGTGAGATATATGGGCCTTATGCAGGTGGGGCAAGTATGTGGTCTATCAGTACCGAGAGTGGCCTCCACCACCAGAGACCTAAAAAGGAGAATATTTTGCTTCATGTGCAAAGCCCTAACAGACGTTATACATCTTCCAAAATTTCCATTTTATTTTTTGTTGACAGATGGATCTTATATATATCGCACAATGAAGTACGAAATGGGTGGATATCTATATGTTTCGAAATCTGCACATCTGGTTCTCTCTCAAGTTCCAATTAAATAATTTAATAAAAAAATTAGAGTTATAATTATATAGAGCCCTGTCAGACGTTTATTACATACCTAATAACTGACTACCGAGTAGAGCTCTGATTATTGACTCAGAAGGTGTTGAGTATTGATAAATTGAATTACCATCAGATTCGTTTTTTGAAAATTTATTATCCTATGTGGCTATGCAGATGAATGAACTCGCTGATATAGCTCGATGTGTAGCAAATGCACCTCTGGATGATGATCGCTCTTTGTCATACCTGCTTTCTTGTCTTGAAGACTTGAAGGTTGTCACAGACCGTAGAAAATTTGATGCCCTCACTGTGGAGACTTTTGGAGCACGTATAGAGAAGTTGATAAGGTGAGTTCCTGACATTTACATTGGAAGTCATTGTATACGAGTTTTTGTAGCATTTAACAATTGACCATTAATTTTTCACGTAAAGAAATATGGCTTGATTTTGATTCTGATCTAGGGAGAAATATTTGCAATTATGCGAATTAGTTGATGATGTAAAGGTTGATATATCAAGCACTGTAATTGACGAAGATGCTCCTTTAGATGATGATGTTGTACGTAGCTTGCGAACTAGTCCTTTACATTCTACTAAAGATCGGACCTCAATAGATGACTTTGAGATTATAAAACCAATCAGCCGTGGGGCATTTGGCCGGGTTTTCTTGGCAAAAAAGAGAACAACAGGGGATCTGTTTGCGATAAAGGTAGGTAAAGAACTTATTGTTTATGTTAAATTGTTAATTGATCCATCAGTTTCGGATTCGAGGCCGGCCGGCCTTACTTTGGTTGGAGATTTTTTTTGTTTTTTCCTTGGGCCTTTAAGAAACGTGGCTCTAGAGTAGGTCTTGATTGTACGTATGATAACTGCTGTTTGTTATAGTGAATTTCTGTTGCAATTTTCTATAGCAAGTTTTTTGTTACCCAAACATTCTTAATGTGTGTGTGTGTGTGTGTGTGTGTGTATATTGCTGAGGTATTTGTAGAATACCTAATGGCCATGGAGGGCATAGAAACCAATGTTTCTATACCTTACTTTGATATCTTTATTGGACCACATTCTTCCCTGTTTAGTCAAATATTTCATGAAAGTTGACGCTAATCAGTACAAAGAGAACAAACCTTGTTCCTGCCAGATTTTATGGCAGCATCATCAGTTACAATGTGCATATCATCAGCAAAATAAGTGAAAGGAAGAGAACTACAAGCTTTAACTTTTAGGATGGAGTATTTCGGAAAAATATTATATATACTGACAATAATGGTATGATCTTGTGTCTGTCTTTTCTCCAGTTATATTCCATGATTTCTTTGGTTTCAAAATTAGGAGATTGAACTTTTAAAGAATGATTAACAAGTGGTCCAGAAGTTTTACTTAGTGCTTATTTGGGAGTGTTTAAATTATAATTTGAGCAGTGAAGACCACAGAATGTGTGGACAAAAAGTGGATAATAAGTTGTGGGTCCATAGAATGTGTGTGACTGGTTTAAATTTGCCCAACATGCCCTAAGAGGTTGTATGTCTTTTATGTGATTAACTTGGGATGGGCAAAGCCCTACTTCCTTGAAGCGAGTTGGACTTAGCTTATTCATCCCTAGAACTGCCCTGCATATTAAGCCCCCAATCCTGTTTTAGCAGTAGGCATAGGGTGCAAGAGTATGGGGAATCCAAAATTTTGGTATTCTTTTGGCTTTTGCTTTAATATATCTCACTGATTTGTCTTTATGATATATCTAGAACTGAATCATTGCCTTTTATGGTTTAAGACATCACTAGGTTAGCAGAGCCGGGCAGCCTCACCTGGCCTGCCCCTGTAGTCACGATCTCTTATTATTTCATTCATGCATTCCATTACGTGGAACTGCCCCCCTCTCAACATTGAAAGAACGTTGAGTTGTCCCTTAGTCTTAACTGGGTTTTTTATCATGTAACAATTAGGAGTCTTTCATTTGATTATTCATATTGGCAGGATATGCCCCAAATTTATTGGGAGCGAAGCTTTGTTGTTTTATGATTGGGCTGGCTGTATTTGGCAATGCTGTGCATCTTACTTATTATTTTCTTTAAAAATCATTCACTTTCTATGTCTATGGCTTCTTAATACTAAGTTCTAGTTCTTCCACCATCATTTGTCTGTAATTATTTTATTCATATCTCAGTTCTATTTATTATTGCGGGAGCCAATCTTTATCACCCAGCTAAACCTGCTATACTAGATATTGGTTGTGACCTGAACATTTCATGTATATACCCCTTATATGTCCCATCCGCACTCCCATTATTTTACTTCTGAAATTCTATTCTCAACTCATTTGGTTGAAGTATGTGTTTTCCGACTTACCTTTATATTTTGCAGGTTCTTAAGAAGGCAGATATGATAAGGAAGAATGCTGTTGAGAGTATTTTGGCTGAACGTAATATATTGATCTCTGTTCGCAATCCTTTTGTGGTGAGCAGGTGTAACTGACAAAGCATTTTACTTATCTTTTGAAAAGGTCATCACTTTTTAACTTTAACGTCTCATTCGTCAGGTTCGTTTCTTCTATTCATTTACTTGTCGAGAAAATTTGTATCTTGTAATGGAGTACTTGAATGGCGGAGATCTGTATTCATTACTGAGAAATCTAGGCTGCTTAGATGAAGATGTTGCTCGAGTATATATAGCTGAAGTTGTAAGTTATTGGAGATTTGCTATCTTTTACCATCTCCCTTTCGGCTTGCATGACATTGAAATGTGTGTTTGAGGTTGTAATATGACCAGGTGCTTGCATTGGAATATTTGCACTCTCTGCGTGTGGTTCATCGTGATCTAAAGCCTGATAATTTGTTGATTGCACATGATGGTCATGTCAAGGTAATTTATTCTAGTTTTTGGTTAATGATCTGATTCTTTTTCCTTTCGATGTCAGTACTGAAGACGATTTGTTCATACTCATTAAAAAAAAACTGGATATTTGCCTTCTATAGATAGCTGTATTGCTTTCCATTTTTTGTTTGTGATTTTCGAACTAAAATATGTAGTTTGTATAAGGAGAAACCACCAAAAAAAGGGGATATATATATTAAAAAAAAACTGGATATTTGCCTTCTATAGATAGCTGTATTGCTTTCCATTTTTTGTTTGTGATTTTCGAACTAAAATATGTAGTTTGTATAAGGAGAAACCACCAAAAATAGGGGATATATATATATATATATATACACACACACACACCTTTAAAATATAAAGAGGTAGAAGTTATTAGTATACTTTCGTTATCGGTATGCTTTTGTTAGAACTTCAGGTAAATATTCCCAGTTGGCTTCATTGGATTATCCAACTATAGAGGAAATGAGTTGAACGACCCTGCTAGGACTAATTATGTCACCCTGCTAAGATTCATTATATGTACCGATCTGCTTTTGTAATTAGCTTCTGCAACTTGCAATAGTAACTGAACTTATTTATTTTTTATAACTAAAGGCTTGTTTTTTAATGTAAAAATTTGATCATCTGTCTCAAATTTGTCATATAGCTAAATTAGCACCTAGTCATTTAGTTGCAATTTGGGTATCTCCATTAAGCGTTTTCTTTTACGGCCTTTTGTGACATTGAATGCACCAGAATAATATATATTATTTGCTATTTCTCGGTCCCATAACCCGTGTTTCTGACTGCTAATAGTACTGTTTCAACATGCTACTAGCATCATTACTTTGATGTGGTAGGGTAATGGTACGTAGATTTTGCATGTGGATTGTTTCCATTTCAATTTGATGTTACTTTATTTAGATAAATTTATCAATATATTGTTCATATGCACTTAGTTGTTGCTATGTACAGATTGTCTTAAAGTAATTTATTATTCATTTGATATTATTTTTAAAAATCAAGTGATTGATCGATGCCTTTGATAGTTTATTCTTTACAAGCATTTGAAGCTCATGGAAGCTGATACCTCATTGTCTGTATGTTTTGTCCTCCAAATATCTCTAAGTGGATAAAATCAAACTATCTGTGGATTCTGATTAGCAAAACTAACACGTGCCATCTTACTGAGCAGTTGACGGACTTTGGGCTATCTAAAGTTGGTCTCATCAACAGTACTGATGATTTATCGGGTCCTGCTGTTTGCGGAACATCCCTAATGGAAGATGATGAACCTCAATTGTCTGTATCTGACCATCAGCAAGAAAGGCGCAAGAAACGCTCTGCTGTGGGTACACCAGACTATTTGGCACCTGAGATTCTTCTAGGAACTGGGCATGGTTTGTATATGAGCATTGGATTTCTTCTGTAGTCTTATGTAGGGCAGTTTAACAGATCTTAACACTCGTGTCCACATACTTAGAACAATTGTAATATGTCGTTTTAAAGTATAACTTTCTCTCTCCTACAAGAAGCTAATCATCACCATCATGATATCATCAAAATTTTCTTTTAGTTGAATTCCTCTCTCTCTCTCTCTCTGTACAACAAGTCTCTCTAGATCCATATTTTTAGCTCTTTGGAGTCTTTCATATCACATTCTTTTCGCAACCAACTGCCATTCAGAATTGCAGACAAGGGGAAGGTAAAGATAATGTTGATAATGGTTCATCAATCAGAATCGATAAAAAAATAAAATCTGAGAAGGTATTAAGAATGTTTACTGTCGGTGATTGGTAGTAGATAGTGTCATCAATAAATTTGCAGAATGCGGCAACTGTGGATATCAACTCGATAGTAGAATCATGACTGATATTAGCAGTCATTTATGGGACCTAGATAAGAATTCGCTAATAGAGTTTTTCCTCCTATGTTTTGTCAATAATCTCTTTTTTTAAGTTTATTTTTACTGCTGATAGCTACCTTAGCTCATTATTTTTATAAGTTTTGGAAAATAAAGCTTGCATTGAGGTATGACAACAATCTGTCAAGGAACAGAATTGTTTTATTTAAATTGCAGCATAAGGGTGCATGATTTCTGTAATTATGTTGATTATCATTTTACTCGTGATGGTGCTTTAAGAACATGACTGCATAATGACATGAAAAATATCTTGTGAAGATTTATGTGCTTTTGCTGGATGTAGTGTGCTGTTTTACTGGATCGTAGCACTTTACGAATGCAACGTTATAATGGAGTATTCTGCATTTTCCTCAGGCTTTACTGCCGATTGGTGGTCTGTTGGTGTCATACTATTTGAGTTGATTGTTGGAATTCCTCCTTTTAACGCTGAGCATCCTCAGGTTAGTACATATCTGTAACATTTTGTTTCATTGTGCAGTTTTATACATGTTTGTGTATACTACCCTCTGTCCGTCTATCCGGTGAAGAAGTAGATGGGTTTGGTCATGCATCTACTTCTACACTATGATCTTCGATGTTATTGAGGTTCTTGGAACTTTGTGAGGAAGGATTCTGATGGGGACCCAACCATCTCTCCCAAAAGCCCAGGCTTGAGAGTGATTGAATCTCACAACTATTAGACCCTAACAATACCCCACAACCCCAAATCTGACGTCCATTGTGGCCCACTCCACGACGACCTTCGCTTTACCTGACCGGCCCTTCTTTGGCTGCTGGTATTCGCCACTTCGTTTGGGTCACCCCTTCCGGGGTTCGAACTTGTGATGTGGGTCTGCTCTGATACCAATTGATGGGGACCCGACCATCTCTTTCAAAAGTCCATGCTTGAGGGTGATTGAATCCCACAACTATTAGACCCTAATAGATTCATATAAATGCTGTGATAAATCAGTGTTACCAAATTGTGAATAAGGTACCACGGGATTTTTGTTATGTGAATGGAGCATTCAAAATTTCACAGATACTATGCACTCTAAAAGAACAAAGCTGTCACTAATAAGTAATAACCCCTTGTAATAGAGATTTATATTCTTTATGTAGTTGTGCCAAATGGTGAAATTCTTTCTGTTTTTATGTTAATCATCATTTAAGCGTATGTGAATGTTTCCATTAGGGGTTCGCATGGTCCATTCTTACTGGTTCTTATTAATATGAGACCCAACCGGATATTATTCGGCTTTCTTTCGTAGAGAATTGATCAATTCTCTATTAAAGGGAAAAGCTGAACAGGTACTTTGTTTTTCGGGACTTGGGCTTAAAAATTGGACTATATTAAGTATTTGAGGTGCATTATAATAAGACTAACTATCGACGTATAATTTATATTATTTAATTAAAAAGATAATGATACATGTTCATCCAGACCCATTGAATTTGCCGACCTCTAGCTTCCATCAAGTGCCTCCTATGGTTGCATTCTTATTATTCTAATATTGCTTGCAGAAAATATTTGATAATATTCTCAACCGCAAGATACCTTGGCCACAGGTCCCTGAAGAAATGAGCCCTGAAGCACATGACTTGATTGATCAGTAAGAGAAGCCTTGCTATTTCATTTTTACTTGATTTAAGGAGATTATATTGTATAAAGGCCCCAATATCATTTTGCTCTTGGTCTATATTTTCGTTGACAAAATCTTTCTTACTATAGATTGGCTTTCTGCAATATTTTTTATATGAATTGGGTGGTAAATGTTAATGCTTTTGTCAGGGATCTAGAATATGTTACTTACCTAATGCATGTCTCCTGAGATGTGGATTCTATAATATGATATTGTGATGCCTCCTATAATCAGGGTAAAGGTTAGTTGCTGCAAAAGTAAAATGCCCAATTCCAAAGAAATATTTTAGAGTTTTCTGCAATTGCCCATGATTTCTTTCCTGTTATCCTTCTGATAAATGCTTCACAGTCAACTTTATGTCGCATATGAACTTCATCTCCAACATACATAGCTATGTTACTTTGTCTCGAATGCATAAAGCTGTTAGGTTCCCTTTGTTGCTGTCAACATTCAATCTGCTTCATTTTCTGAATTTGGGAAAGTGATCTGCTGCTCTTTCCTCTTTTTAGGTTACTGACAGAAGATCCTAATGAGAGACTTGGAGCAAGAGGAGCATCTGAAGTATAATTCTTTATGTTTTTTCTGGTTATCGGGTTTGTTCTTCGTTTCTTTGTTTGAACAATGACTAACCCGAGTGAGAAAATACTATACAGTTGAAGCAGCATCCATTTTTCAGAGATATTAATTGGTACACGCTTGCTAGACAAAAGGTTTGGCCCTTATTTCTTAATCTGCTTGAGCAGATATGTTCCTTTTGATGTTAGAAATATTTGGTTTCGGCATAACAAGAATTAAACAGATCTTTCTTTAAATTAGTCATGCCTAGGATTGCTTCTTTTCTATCCAGGCTGCTTTTGTCCCTGCCTCTGAGAGTGTACTGGATACCAGTTACTTCACCAGTCGTTTCTCCTGGAATCCTTCGGATGAACAGGTCTATGCAGCTAGTGAATTCGAAGATTCAAGTGACAATGGTAGCATGAGTGATATCAGCAGTTGCCTGAGCAATCGGCATGATGAACTGGTGCTGTATTTCTAATTTTGAAACCAAGTTGAGGTTTTATGTATCCGTTCTTCATTTATAGTTTTGATTGGGTTCACTCCATGATGAACAGGGAGATGAATGCGGTGGTCTTGCGGAATTCAACTCAGGCTCTGATATCAATTATTCCTTCAGCAATTTCTCGTTTAAGGTAATCTCATGCATATTGGTTGCTCAATTATTTACATTGTACGCTCAAATGTCCATAGTACTTGTTTTATGGATCGAACTGAATACCGTAATCAAGATCAATATTGAAACAAAACGTTAAAGAAGAAAGAAAAGAAATTCACATATTTATAGCGGTTCATCCTCACTGTGAAAGAAAATCACATATTTATAGTGGTTCATCCTCACTCTGAAAGTTACATTCCCTTGTCCCTGCCGATGTTCACTAAAATCGAGAAGAAATGTTTGCTATAGAGATCTCACACCTGCGAGTCTTTTTACTAAACACACCAAGAAAAAGAACCCCCCTCTCCCCCAGTCAATTATGCTTCAGAAATGAACAGTTCATGCGATATTCTATGTGCTGTTATGATCAGTTGTCATTTGCTATTGTTATGTACATCATTTGAATCCATTTGTTGTTGCAACAGAACCTGTCCCAGCTTGCTTCTATCAACTACGACTTGCTTACCAAAGGTTTGAAAGACGACCCACCGACAAATTCTAGTGCATAAATACGGGAACCCTTCTGTGTGTACACCCTGTAAATGTATGATCTTCATTCGTTGAACTTTTTACTAGGTAACGGACTATATTCTATGACTATATAAATCAACACACACAGCTAGTTGTTGATTGCAGACACAGAAGCAGCTTAAAGACTGTTATCTTGGGGGATGTAGTACTGTACGTGTCTTATTTATACACACTTTGTCGCAGTTCTTCAATTGTAACGGTTAAAAGAGTTGTTATATTTGGTTTGAGGCCGTCAATGTGTGTTGTAATATGCACAGCTCTGTAATTTTGTTTCTTCTTCATAGCAATGAGAACAAATGCCTTTGATTACTTTCTGTACCAGTTGATGGTATTGTGTGACACTCCTTTCAAATCAAACTATATTTGTGAATCGATTTTCGTGTGTCCAAGTTAGACGAAGTTATCTGGTTGAAAAATAAAATGTAGTTACCTAATTGAACAAATTGAAGTACTGATTATATTATAGTTAACACTGACGAATTTTATCCCTATAAAGCAGATGGCGTAAAGCAGGCTCAACCATAAAAGTTTAAAAAGCGCTTCTCATCTAAACTCTGGGCAAGACCATCAGAACGAACTTTAGAGAGATGACTCTTTCAACCTAAAATGCTGTGACATAATAGGAAATGCGCGAATGGAACGTCACACGGCTTCTCAACGCCCCAAAAGCATCTGCCAGAGAGTCGACTACGTGGAACGGAGTGCCAAAATTGTCTGAAAATAAATTTGTTCATACGCAGCCAGGAACACAATTATTTTGAGCAATAATTATAAGTTCTCAGATGATTCTGATTTCATAGTGTCTTACTGGCAGTAGGATCAGCTCAGTTCTAAAATTAGTTACAAAAGGTTGACAACCTATTTGTATATGCTCCGCTCCTGAAGGAAGGCATATTTTGATGTTGAAACTGACTTCGTTCATCGCCTTTTGTCTGCTCGTTGGAGCTCGTCCATCAAGAGATGTGCCACAGATTTGTACCCCAACTCCTTAGCTACAATTTTATTTCAATTAAGAGAGAGAAACATTATCTAAACGATGAAATGAGAGTACACATTATCAGAATGTATAAAGAAATCATGTAAAAACAAACCTCTATATATGGCTATCCCGGTAGGAGCCATCTTTCGCTTCTTTAAACAGATTGAGCTATCCACGAAAAACATACAACATAAGATTTTTGAATGACTATAGGATCCATGATGTTCTGTATATCATAGGAAAATACCTGTTACATATCCAATAAGGATTAATTCCTTTATCTTCCATGCAGTGAGGACATATCCATTGTTTTTTCGCCTTCACTTCTTCCATTTCTATCAGATAAAGGTATGACAAAATTCAGTTTCCTCAACAATTTTCTACTTCACCTTACCAAACAGGGCACTAACTCATCCTCTCTAGGCTTACCTTCTCCATATCTAACCTTGAGACAAGCTCGACAAAGAACACCGTTGCTAGAATGGCAAATGGAGCAATCTGTTTTTCCTGTATGGGAATTGTTTGGATATAAAAAGCCCAATATAGGGATAAAAATGAGTAGTTGATCTTAGAAAAGAACCTATGCAAGGTTGATCCATGTCTTGATTGCCACATCGTTCGCAATCTTCCTCACCGCATAGTTTCTTTTGCCTGACATTCGTGAAGAACCAAAATTGCTAACAGTACACAAGTAACTAAAGAGTTGTGTAAATGAGAAAGCATCTAAAGTGTATTTGTGAAATAACAAATCTTTGAACAGCGATATGACTGTTTACACTGTACCTATAGATTCAATAAGAAAACTAGGCCTTATTTTCAATAGATTTGAGGTCGGCTACATGAATAATTTTTTGTTCTTCCACTAGGTTCATCCGTGGATAACACCAGAAACAGAAAAACCTTTAGATTAGTTTCTTTTGAGAAAAACCAAATTCAATTCTTAAAGGTACATCAGTGACTAAAGAGGGGTTAAATGCCACAATACCAGAAGAAAATATTGAATTAGCCGCCGGTGATCGTAAAATCGAAAGAAAAATATGAAAAGACAATGCTTAATCCCACACTACCTTTACCACCCTAAGAGCCACAAAGCATATTAAGAACTTCAAAAAATTGGTAAAAATAGAACAAGCACAGAACCTGCAGAAATGGCAGCAAATTCCATAAATAGGATCATACAAACTCCCCCTGCCCTTGCTTGTGCAACGACGAGTCAAAGCATCTGGTGAAAGCTTCGGCCTCAAACTTCTTCTGATACTCAATAAAGGTGCATTTGCAGGTCGATTCTTGTCATCTTCACTGTCAAGACCTTGAAAATTCACCAAATCTCCTATAAACAAACCGGAAGAACAAATTAAATCTATTTTCGATTGTCATGAGAAAAACATTAATAGCAATCTATCTCTGTCTCTCCTTCTGAATATGCACAAACCGAACCATTTGAAGATGGCGATTTTCCTATCAAGCGAGCGGAACGGCGCAATGGAGTGGAGCTATAGTCAAGTTTTTGGCATTTCCTCACATTGGTCCTATCAGATTTTGGTGATGAAGTGATGGATCTGAGTTCTGAGATTGTTTTCTGAAGTCCTAGTGAGGCCAGTCGTGCCTGTTCTTCATAACAAAAACTCGTAATCACTACCATTGCAGATTAAATTTAATTAAACAAAAACGTTAAATTTTTGACAGAAATATAAGGTTGAAAAATAGAGTGAAAACCTGATTTTCAAGAAGACGGGCATTTCTGATTTCTTCATAGTCAGATTTTGCCCTGAGTTTTCCCATTCTTGTTTGTGGTTTTTCAATTGTGAAGCGCCATTATTTTGATGATGAGATCCCCCTGCCTTCAAAAAATTGTGGGCGACAAAGTTTTTTTTTTTTAAAAGACGATATAATTGTATTTTCTTGGTTTTGTGGGTGAAAGGGGGCTAAAAAGTTAAAACAACTGCTTGTGAGTTAGTGTGTGTAACAGACGAGTGAGTATTAGCAACGAATCGATTGGTTTTGTTTGTTTTCTTTCTCACATTCCTATTCGTCTGTCAGAGAAAGGACAGTGACAGCATTTTGAGTTTTAGCTTTTAGGCGAATATGATCTAACGGATAGTTTTTTGAAAAGATGCAGTCTTTTGAATTAAAAAAATAAATAAAATTTCGATATGTAGTTTTGTTTATTTCCTCAAAAATTCATTTTCAGTGAAATAATTCTTCAGCCAAAAACAAATAGGAATTTTATATTTGACTCTTTGTTTATAAATCGTATTGTCATCACCTATTATTTGAAAGAAATTTATGAAATTGTTTCGCACGGGTTAAGTCGCTAACAATTAAAAAGGGTCAGACGATTGTGTAAGGGACGAAATCTCTTAAGACAAAGTCCCAAAAAGGGGTGTTCTTTTATTGACGATGGACTTTACAATTGGGAATGAAAAATAACGTGCCTCCAAGGGGCGCAAGCACACGAGTTACAGAAAAATGTTTAAGTCTAAAAGCTAAGGAAATGAAAATTACATATTTCTCTGTTCGAGAGTTTTGGATTCGGTCCTTTGCTTCTGCGTCCTTTCTCCCTTTTATACCTCCTAGACGACCTCTTTGTGATTAACTACCCTGAAAACTGCTTGATCGTCCTATAACTTCCCACTTTCTTTGTAGTGGCCATTTTGTCATGAAACTGCCTCTTAACTGCTGCCATTATCTTTCATCGTTCAACCGCTTTCGATTGAATTCCTTGAGTCATGGAACGTGATAATGCTACTTTAACAACTGCCTTGATAACCACGATGCGTTATATTTGTTGATACCTTGGGCGACTTGAAGGTTTGGGCGAGAGTGGAATAACAGCTCTGGGCGACCGTATGACACCCCATTCGTTCAGATTCTGGGCGACTCGCAAACTTGGGCGATGGCGTCACCGCATTCTTGGGCCCCTTATTTGGGCCTTCACCCTAATTCGTTTGATTGGACTTCGTTCTTTGGGCTATCCGATTTGAGGATCCTTCAATTGGGCTTTATTCCTTGGGCTGTTCGATTTGGGCTGAATTTTTATGTGTCAACAATTACCCCCCAATATGGCAGAATTAATAATAATCATTGAATTTTGCCATATTCACTTCATGTTTCCAGCGACGTTCGAAGTTCCCAAGAATTTCAATCATTGTTTCCTTCTATAACTTGAAGAAGTGCGTCGTTTTACAAACCCTTATAAACCCCAAACACGCCATTTTACTGCTACCAAACCACGCCTCATATTTTCTGCATCTCTTTCACAATTCACTGTTCATCTTTTGCTTCCTTGTTACGTAACCCTGAAGAGCTTCGTTCATTCTCCAATGGCTGCTTCACAATCTCAAGCTAGCGATTCCTTTAGTTTTGATGACTTTCAGAAACTTCTGAGTCGCCCATACATAACCCCAAATTTTCTCGTGCCCGCCGACGTTGGACGTAATGAGTTTTACTTGGGTCCTTTCTTCAACAATGCGGAGGCAGTTGAACAGGCGGCGGTGGGTCAGCTGTTTCCTTGCACTCATGGCCCTCCTTTTCTAAACTCTCTGCCGCTGGGGCCACTTCGCGAAAGAGGTATTCGCACTTGGCCTAAATCTGATGTAGCTTTTCGTAGGTGGCATGCTCGCCTTGTGGGTCATGGTCCTACTAAGGCACTTTTTGATGACGCTAGGATTTCTGATTTGTTAGAAGTCTCTATTTGCCCCCCTACTTTTGACTCAGCGCTCTTTCCGATTGCTTTGAGTTTTTGGTCCTTTGAGTACAACACCTTTATTTTTCCTCTTGGCCCCATGTCTATTACGTTAAGGGATGTTGGGGCCCTGGTGAATTTACCACCTTTGGGCAATACCATTTTCCCAGGTATCTTAGTTTCTGGTGGCGCCCCACAGTTCGGCAAAAACTACACCGATTCTTATTCAAGCCTGTAGACCCTCCATAATCATTCGAGCGCTGAGCCTACCCATGCTGAGCGGGTGGCCTTTCTTTTAGTTTGGCTTTGTAAATATGTTTTGTGTGTGCCAAGTATAAAGCCTTCTCTGAGTTATTTACCTATAGCGCACGAATTGGCGCGTGGCAGGCCTTTGAATTTATGTTCTTTGTTTTGGGCTGCCCTTTATAGAGGTATGTCTTTTCTTCAGGCTCAATTGAAGAATGGTGCATCTCCCACTGGCAGTGGACCTCTTTGGTTTACTCAACTGTGGTTGAGATCCTATTTTCCATCGCTTGGTGCTCCATCCATTTCTCATCCTTCAGCTAGCTGTTACGGGCTAGCTATGGAGCCCTTAACTCCTGTAAATATGTCCAGACGGGACATTTTTTCATTCTTTTATTCTTTAGATTCAATTTCTTCCTTCTTTCCTTTTCCTCCTTTTTTGACTCCAAACTATGTACATCCCCCTTCCACTATAGATAGCGCGAGCACCTCGCTGCTCATTTGGATCCAGTTTTTCACTGGGAGGGAGCTTTTCCATGATATCTTAACTGGGACCAATGCCAAAGCGGGGGTAGAAATTTATGCTCCCCAATTTTTTGCTCGTCAGCTTGGTTTTGGCCAAACTTGGCCTGTTCCTCTTTGCTATTCGAAGAGCTTAATTGACCGTTTTCATACCATTAATAAGGCGGAAGCAGAGGCTATTAACGTTCGCAACCTCCATTTATCAAGCCATTTTTCATTAGCCCCTTTTAATTCTTGTCATGCTACTCACCCTCTTTTTGAACAATTTCGGCCATCAGTGAAGCGCAGATTATTTGCGACTAAGGCCAATCGTGCCTTTCATTCATTAGACCAACCGAGTATTTCTTCTCCTCCTCCTGTTTTGGTCACTCCTTTGTCTATTCGAAGCCCCTCTCCTTCTCGTCGTACCAAACAACCTGCTCGTCCATCTTCTTCTCTCCCCGCCAGGCCTACTACGGCCAAGAGTGCTTCAAGCCGCAAACGGCCAGCCTGAGTATCTCCCATTCTGGAGGATGATGTTGATGATGATGATGATGATGATGCCCCTTTTATCGTCAGGAGGAAGGTAATTAAATCGGTCTATTTACAAGTATGCTTTTCCACATTTGATACTATTCTATGTACTGATGATCTTTTGGACTTTTCAGAAAGGTTCAGTCTCCCCTTCAAAGGCTTTGGCATCGACAACTCCTGCTCCACTATCCTCTGCTGAGGTTACTTCATCCAAACCGGTTGGTGATGGGACCATGTTTAAAGATACATCTTCAGTCCCAGAGTCTTCATCACAAACCGTGGATGAGCCACCTTCTTCCCAGGGTGTCGCCCCCCCAATCATCCAAGCAGAAGGTAATTCAGTTTTTGATGTCTTACCTTTGCTCG